GAGCTGTGGCTGCTTATTTACGTGCACTAAATCTGGCCTCAAACCACGCAGTTGTTCATGGAAATCTTGCGTGCGTATACTATGAGCAAGGGTGAGATATTTTGCCTTATTTCACTATTTTTCGGGTTTTAATTTCTCACATTTTAATTTCGCACTTTTCAGCCTGATAGATTTGGCAATCGACACATATCGACGAGCAATAGAATTGCAGCCAAATTTCCCAGACGCATATTGCAATTTAGCAAATGCTTTGAAAGAAAAGGGACTTGTACAAGAAGCGGAGAATGCGTATATGACAGCGTTAGGGGTGATTATTTTTGCTTAGTTGCATTCGTAATAAGCTACATCTGGAGTATATCTTATTTTATCTTAGCTTTGCCCTACACATGCTGACTCACAGAATAACTTGGCAAATATCAAGAGAGAACAAGGGAAAATTGAAGAAGCTACGAGATTATACTTGAAAGCGTTAGAGGTGTGTGTGTGACCAACCTCCCATTGGATGCATTTTGTGTCTACTTAAATAATCTATGAAATAGTGATTCATTTCTGTATTTCTGTATAGGTCCGCATTTTAGATCTATCCTGAATTTGCTGCTGCTCATAGTAACTTGGCATCGATTCTTCAACAACAAGGAAAACTTCAAGAGGCGATTCTACATTATAAGGTAAGCCTATAGAGACATGCCTGGGCTCCGAGCGTCATCGATTCTCTAGTTTCTAATTCAATCCGTTTCCATCATTATGCTAGTGAAATTGATGCAGGTCTAGCTAACAACTCTACAATCAACTGGTTAAATCTATGTAATTGAAACTTGAGTAACTTTAGGAAGCAATCCGTATTGCGCCAACGTTTGCTGATGCTTATTCAAATATGGGCAATACTTTGAAGGAGATGGGTGATGCTGCAAATGCAATGCAATGCTATACTCGAGCTATCCAAATCAACCCTGCATTTGCTGATGCTCACTCGAATTTAGCCAGTATTCACAAGGTTCGTTATTGTCTGTTGTTTATCTTTGCTGTCATAAATTAGAATGTTATTTCAACCTTTTCGCTTTCACACGGAAGTTAGTTTATTGGGCATGCCAATTTGCATATCGACACAAAGTTTTTATTGAGTTTTATTGAAGAAATGTGATTAGATTTTTACAGGACTCTGGAAATATTCCTGATGCGATACAAAGTTACTCTACCGCCTTGAAATTAAAACCTGATTTTCCTGACGCTTTCTGCAATCTTGCTCATTGCTTGCAAATCATATGTGACTGGACGGACTATGATAATCGGTAAGTGCATTCCATTTCTTGACATCCGTAAACTGTTATAGTGAAGAGTATCGAACTCTACATATACGATTTATCTCGTTAAGCATGAAACGTTTGGTAGCCATTGTGGACGACCAGCTAAGCAAAAA